TCGCTTCTCCATATTCTTTTTGTTCCAATAGCGTTTCGCCTTTCATTATTTTCCATTTTGCAGGAACTTCATCCAAAAAAGAAGATGCCCTATCAATTAAATTTGCAGCAAGGAAATATTGTCCATTCTGTAAATATGATTCAGCCTGCTTAATGGAATCTTGCACTTGTTGCAATTGATGATATTCCGTAATTGCTTGTTTATTGTTAGGATCAGCATGTAAAACTCTGGTATACCACCGATCCGCCTCTGAGAGATTACCAAGTGAAAAATTACATTTTGCACCACGGAGAAGTGCTTTGGTTGATGTTGGATCTAAAACTAATGCTCTTTGACAATCATCAAGTGCATCTTTTGGTCTTTTCAACATCATCAAGGCAGCGGCACGGTTTGTGTAAAATGTAGGCGAAGTTGGATCTAGCTCTATTAAAATGAAAATAATACATTGTTAATATCGGTAAAAAAAAAAAAAAAAAAAGAGTTGAATTCTTTAAACATATTGCTTATTATCCAATTTTATTACCAATTGCATGACTATATAGTCGAATGGCATCTTCATAGTTTTTAGCTTTATACTTTTCATTTGCCTTCACTTTGATATCGTCAGCCGAAAAGCTCCTTAATCTTAAAAAGAAAATATGAAATTAGCTTATAAATTTGGCGAATGTCTAAAATTTCAGGAATTAACATATTAAATATTTTCTAGACACAGAGCATTAAAAGTAATTTACTAGCTTTGATATAATGTTACATTACAATTAAGGAAAAAGTAACATGTATATTATAAAAGTCTTTTTAGACCTTATAGATAGTTGTGAATACACATTCCATGAAATAATTAAGCTCTTTAGTTGAATAAGGCACTGTCGCTATCTGAGAGAATTCTGAAAAGATACTCTCGTCTTTAGTCATAATCTACCACAAAGGTCCATGCAATCGATCGCACTTATTCTTTTCCTAACATAAGGAAACTAAAATACTCACACTTCTTCGTTTCTCTCTGTCTCGATTCCGTTCTCGAATCCGTTGTACATACTAATTGGACTTAATAATCACGAAAAGTTATAGTAAATTAATTTTCAGAATAAGGGGAAAAAATATATTACAGCTGTCTGACGACTAAGAATGTTCTATATAATAAAATATTAAAATGTCTTTTCTCTTTGACACATAAGTATCGAGACCCCCTTTTGGGAATAAGTCGAACACATCATGCAAATAAAGAGGTTTTGAAGTGCACACAGATCGAAGCGCGTAGAAGGTAAAAGAACAATTCAGCATGTGAGCACGGGGTTGATGGACATGTGATATATACATCCGTTGTTGGCTACACGAAACACAGGTTTTAACGTTAATACTGTTGGCGTTAGCGTTAGTACTGATTAAAAGAAGTGATTGGCTATCTTTGGTCAAATGCGCAGCGCCCCACTATCGTAGTATAGTTTTAAAACGAACTGTGATATATAATGAGAATGCTAAAGACATGACCGTGATTGATCCATAATATTGACCTCGATATTTATCTAACCCTAAGCATTAATCCTTAGTACGTAAGGAGATTTGTGCTGAAAACTTTTATTTAATAGTCGCCATGTGAGTTATTTTTTACACTTTGGCCTTACTACTTCGTTAGTACAGTACATATGGAAAGGTACGTCAGGGATGGTAAATGGCCTGGACCTTTGCGTATAAAATAACTTCATTAATTGAATACAGTATACAGTATATCAAGTTATTGCTTTTCTAATTTCTATTTGTTATTCATAAATTTGATCACTTTTGCATTTTACGTTAAATGACCTTGACTAGTCATTTCAGGTACGTATGTAGATCTATTTTTCCTTTTTGGGGGGGGTCGTCCGTGTCCATCACGTGACCTAAAGCCAATAGAATTGTTTATTTTGATCGACACGGATCAGCCCGAAGAGACAAAAAACAGCGAAA